TTTGCCATCCAATCGCAGTGCAAGAATCCCTCTGCCAGACTCCTGTCCTCCCCAGAGAAGTAACCACCAGTTAGACCTCAGAGCTTGGCGCAGGGTCCTCTTGTCTTCCAACCCTACGCTCAAGGGTTCCTTCAGCCTGTTGGCTTTAAACTGCCTCAGGCTAATAACCCCCAAATTTACGTATCTAGCCCAGACCTTGCCTCTGACTCCATACTCTAGTTCAAATGTTTTGTTGACATCATCCCTTGGCTATCACAGAGACGTATCAAATTTAAACGGACAAAAACACAAATTACAATTTGTGCCCCTCTAGCCAGTTCCCTGCTTCAATGATCTTGGTTTCCTACTCTCAGTAAATGGTTCTACCTTCCACCCATTTGCTGAAGTCAAAAACACAGGAGTCAAACTTCTTCCCATTCTCTCTTCCCATCTGACATACAGTCCCTCACATCAAATGCTCCTTACTCCCTACTCTCCTTTCTTCTTCTTTAACAGGCAGGTGAGGAGTTTGGATTTCATTTTAAGGGCAGCAGGAGTCAATGGAGGCTTTTAAGCAAAGAAATGATAGAATCTGACTCAAGTTCTCAAAAGATGATCAAGCTCTTGGTTGGAGAATAGACAGTGATGGTTGGGGTGAGTACAGAATAGAAGTAAGGAGAGCAGTAAGGAAACAATGGTCTTCTAAGAGTTTAGGTAAGAGATGATGGTGGCTTGGTCTATGCTGGTAATAGGCTCAGAAGTAGATGGCAGCAAGTTATGTTATGGAAACAAGAGTCAACAGGACTTCCCGATTAACTGGAAGGAGAGGAGGAGGAAACGTGAGGGAAAGTGACACTCAAACACACCTCACAGATTTCTAGCTTGAGCCATCGAGTACATAATAGTGTTATTTCCTGAGAAGGAAAACAACTGGAGGAAAGGTGGTAGCTAGAACATCTCAGGACCTGTAAATCTGCTATTTCTTAGGTAGGTCTGTCTGTGTGTGAGACAGAGAGACAGACAGAAAGAATGATACACACATTGGATTCTACTTGCCTGCCTCCACCCCCTACACTGAGACTTCTCAATAGACCACATTTGTCCTTCCTCATAAGTGTCTCACCCTCAGACCACCTGTGATGATTCAGGTTGTGTGTCAACTTGGCTGGGCCATGATTCTCAGAGATTTGGCAGTTATGATGTAGTTTGGTAGCTATGTAATGATGTAATCACCTCCATAATGAGATTTGATATAATGTAGTCACCTCCATCATGAGATCTACCATGAGCAGCCAATCAGTTGAAAGGGAGTTTCCTTGAGGGTGTGGTCTGCATCCAATATAGGTGGACTTTCTGGCAAAGCTTGTTGACTTTTGCTCACTCTGGATCCTGCAGCTGGCTCCTGTTCATCTGACCTCCGGCTCCTGGGACTTGAGCTAGCAGCTTATCCGCCAACCTTGGGATTTGTCAAACTCCTCAGCCTGTGAGCTAGAGTCCTGCTATCTGATCTGTCAAGCTTGGGTTTGCCAGCACCTGTAGCTACATGAGTCATGAGAAGACTTCATCCTGACCCATGGACTTGGGACTTTGCAGCTTCTACAACCGCGTAAGCCATTTCCTTGATAAAAATCTCTCTATATACATATTTATACACTTCACTGGTTTTGCTTCTCTAGAGAACCCAGCCTAAGATACCACTCCATCTGAAACAGCTCCTCTCCAGTCTGCTATTTTCTCTCATAGTACACGTTTCCTTAATAGCAATAGTCATAATATAGTCATCTTGGATTATTTTATTTTCTTTATTGTCTCCCACCCGCTGGACCAAAAGCTCCAGGAGGGCAAGGAGCATGCCCCTCCTGCTTATTCCTGCTTTCTGGCTGCCTAGCACAGTCCTGACATAAAGTTGGAACTTAATAAATATCTGTTCATCAATTGTCCTCAGCAATTCTGTAAGAAGAAGAAGAAGGAAAAACATGTCTAAAGCAGGGGTTTTCCAACTTTTTCCATAAAGGGTCAGACAGTAAATATTTTAAGCTTTGTGGGCCATATGGTCTCTGCTGCAATTGCTCAACGCTGCTGCTGTGTGAAAGTAGCCGTAAACAACATGAAAACAATGAGCATGGCTGTGTTCTAATAAAACTATTTATGGACACTGAAATCTGAATTTCACATAATTTTCATGTGTTAAAAAAAAAAAAAATTGATCTTTTGATTTTTTTTCCAGCCATTTCTTAGCACATGAGGCTGACCCCTAGTGTATCTGAAATTTAAGTATCTGGTGGTAAGGAACAGGAGGGGGAGAAAATGTCAGGTAAGACGATTGGTATAACTTTTATCAAAGAATTTATCACACTGTAAAATAACCCCTGTATTTATACATCTGTCACCCTCCCTCTGGCCTACTGGGCTCCATAAGAAAAATGACTGAACCATGTCAATAAATCTTGGCACCTAATACTTAATAAATGCTTGTTGACTGACAGAAGGAAAGGGGAGGGAGGGAGGGAGGGAGGGAGAAAGGAAGGGAGGAAGGAAGTCTCATCGTTCCCAGAAATAATTTGATTTTATGACCACCATGCCACGAGAACAGGAAAACTGAATACTGGGATTTGCCCATCCAGCACCTCTCAGGCAAACAGCAGAAACGTATCCCAAGTCTGAAACAAAGACAAAAGTCTATTTTCTCTCGATTCTGGTATGATTTGGCCAGGTTGAGAAACACATCAATTTCAAAAGATGAGTGGCAATATAATAAACCTAAATTTCAAACCACAACGATTCAACAAACTGCAAAGAGCCTAAAGAAAATATCAAAAGTTCTAAAAATTCTTTCATGTTACCCTGTATATTATCCTTCCCAGGATAAGCACTATCTTCAAAAACAACATCAGCAGCATCTCTACTGATTACAGGGATGCGTTCCAACCATATACTTCTTTCACTAAAACTTCATTTTCTACAGTCAGAAATGGTAAGAAAGACCTTTAAAATGATTTTAATTTAGCAGATAAAGAGGGTTGGGGTACAAAGATGTCTAAATATCTACCCAACCCATGCCAAATATACTGGAAAGCAGTATCGTGAACTGGCTGTCTCACCTTGAGAAAAAATTCTAGGGAGAGGACAAGAGAGATGCCTGTGCTATAGGTGAAGCGTGAGCACAGGACCCACATCTCCAGGTCGGTAGCTTTAACTCTGACAGCGACCCAACTATCGCAGCCTCAGCCAACTGTCCTCAGTAGAGAAACCTTCAGGGAGGGAGTCAATCTTTTTCTGTTTTAATTATGGGGACGAGGTGGGGGGGCGGGGGGCGGCACTAGCAACCTGAAAGGGGGAAAGGGGAATTCTGCCACAGGTGGGAGAGAAAACAGTCTAGGACTATTACCCTCGTTTCACAGAGAAGGCAAGTGAGGCACAGTAATGCTGTGTGCATTATCCAAGGTTGCGGAGATAGAAAATGGCAGAGTCGGGGTTTGAGCCCTGTCCTTCGACTAAGCCCACATCCTCAACCTCTACACCGCACCGCCTCATGGGAGGTTAGAGCTGGGATGGGCTGGAATTAGACAAAAAGGAGCTGAGTAGATCTCTTTGACTCAGTGTGTCTCTGTTGTTCCTGAGTGCTGTCGAATTGATTCCAACTCATACCAACTCTATATGACAGGGTAAAACTGCCCCATTGGGTTTCCCAGGCTGTAATCTTCATGAGAGCAGATCGCCAGGTCTTTTCTCCCACAGAATAGCTGATGGATTCAGACTGTTGACCGTTCAGTTGGCAGCTGAGTGCTTAACCACTGCACTACCAGGGCTCTTAAACATGTCCCTACCAAAGCTAAATGATACGTGGATTATCCACATATATGCTTTAACATTAGCTGGGCAAAAATTCCTCCCCTAACAAGGTCCATAGATCGGAAGTTGTTAGCCCATACGAAAGGTTGTGAGGTTGGCAGATCTGTTTTCACCACCTCCATGTTCCCTTTCCTGCCTTCATTCATGATTTGTTCCACTATTACATTAGAAAAGGTCTAACAGCTCTTCTTTGTACCCGAAGAAAAACAAAATGGGAAACCAGATACAAAGAACCAAACCAGCCGCTGTGGAGTCGACTCCAACTCATGACAAGCCCCAATAGCTCACGTAAAGCACTCAGCTCAGTGCTGGCACATGGAAAGCTCCCAGCAAGTGTTCCTAGTCTTTGTTTTGAATAGCTGGGTAGGATTATTCACGTTGACTCGATTCGGGGATGGCTGCAGGAAAGGTGTGCAAGGTCAGATAGAGGCCAACGGTGTGTTTTCAGTCAGTAAGACTTTTTTTTTTAAAACTTCAATATTCCCTGACGAGATCCTAGTGTCTATTTACTATTCCTCTACGAGAACAAGGCTTACACGCGCTCTTGAAATAGAGTACCATTTGAACTCAACATAGAACTGATCTGCTAACAAAGTAGAGACCAAAATAAGCGCCGTCTGCCAGGCTTGGCAAGACAGGTGCTGTACTTGAAAAGCAAACCTGGCATTTCCTGCAAAGAGAGTGAAGAACACGCTAGAGCGGTAAGTGGCCCCGAGTCAAGGCAAGAGATCTGGCCTGCTACTGTTAAACAGGGCCTGCCGGGAGGCTCTTCACCACGTGTCTGTATGGCCTGCTCGGCTTTCAGGTCCCCACAGAAGTGGCACCTCGTCACATCTCCTGCACACACTGACATTTTCTCTTCCATTGTCAGGAGTTACTTTTCGTCATCACCGTTTGATATAAATAAATTTGGTATTGGCTGTCTTACACTAACAGATTGTTAGTTTTACGAGAGCAGGACTTTTTGCCTGTTTTGCTCTCCGCTATATCCCCTGAGCCTAAAACAGCACCTGCCCCAGAGTAAACACTTGTCACTGAGTCTATTCCAACTCACGGCGACCCCACGTGTGTCAGAGTAGAACTGGGCTCCATAGGGTTTTCAGTGGCTAATTGTTTGGAAGTACATCACCAGGTCTTTCTTTCTGAGGCGTCTCTGGGAGGACTCGAACCTCTAATCCTTTGGTTGGCCGCTGAGCACGTGAACCACCGGCACCACCCAGGGTCTCCTGCCACAGAGCAGACACTACATGTTCAAAAACGAATGTATCCGGGGAACAGTTAATGGGGACAAGCAAAGAAAAATTTAAAAATTCAGCAAAACTTCCAAATTATTAGTAACAAGGGTACTAAACTCTTTATTAATTAATCAAAATACTGTTAGTAAATGTAGTAATCACTTGCCGAAATTTTACAAAATACCAAGCAAAAAATCATTTGAAAGTATTCTAAATCACAGATGGAGCCAAAAAATTGGAAAATTGTCATTCTTTAAGAAAACTGACTGAGGAACATAAAAGGTAGGTTTTATGAGAGTATATATTTTACAATTTTATTTCACTTGTTAACTGAAATCAGCAAACACTTCTCACTCTTAAAATGTCCACAGATTTAAGAAAAGTTGCTACCAGAAAGATGTTACATAAAAGTTAATATTTCAGTTCTTTAAAATATTTACTATGATCTAATATAGTATTTTACTGCCATTAGTGACTTTAGGAAAAATGAAAGATGAGAACTATAAGGCACAAAGAACATTTACCAGAACCCTGTTTTGCTTTGTGGATAAACTTTAAGAGCAGTAATTTTCTCAAAAGAAAAATGATTTTCTTTGGATAATGGTAGCAGCCCAAAAGTACATTATATAAAATGGGCTACAGGAAATTTTTTTAAACTGCAGCGTGGGTGTTTAGGGTGGTGAGTTGGCAGGTATTTTACCATATTTTATACCACAGAGAAAGAAAGAAAAACAACTTAAAACAGTGGTTTATGTCTTTATCTTGAAACTGTAGCATATTCAAATAAAAAGGTCATTCATCCACAACTGAAAAACTGGGCTTAATCCTGGCGATCATGTCCATAATTTATATTCTAACACCTGCATACTTTAGTCATTGAAATATATTTTGATTCACAGGATTAAAAATACAAGACTTGCGTATATAAAAGATAACAATTTAAGAGGCTAACCAAGAAAACAAAAGGACAACAGTCCTTTCGGTAGAAGTAAAGACAACTGGAAAGGAACCCTGGTGGCACAATGGTTAAGCCCCTGTCTGCTAACTGAAGGGCTGGTGGTTCAAATCCACCAGCCACTCATCGGGAGAAAGAACTGGCAATCTGCTCCCACAAAAATTATAGCCTAGGAAACCCTATGGGGAAGTTCTACTCTGTCACGTGGGGTCACTATGAGTTGGAATCAACTCAGTGGCACATAACAACAACAACAAAGACAACTGAGAGTTGTGGAAGGTAAATAAAAATGAATTTAAATTACACGAGAAAGATGTTAGAAGCTCATACAGATATATCATCCCTTTGAGAGGCTATTGTTTGGTGACCTTTTTTTCAGACTGAAGTATTTAGTCATTCATTTTAATAAAAAGTCTCTAATCTCAAAATATCTTTTGAGGTATCTAGACAAAAAAGGTACATTCTTAAGAAAAGGAACACACTATGTACCATGAACTTTTTTTTTGAGTGATCAACAAAATGGCTGAGACTCTTAGTTTTATAATCAGAAGGACTTAAGCAATTTTGGAGGATGACAGAAAAACCAGGTAAGCTTGAGTACAGCAAAGTGGCCAGATTAATATCTCTAACATAAACAGGGAAACCCTGGTGGTGTAGTGGTTAAGAGTTCGGCTGCTAACCAAAAGGTTGGCAGTTTGAATCCACCAGGAACTCCTTGGAAACCCTATGGGGCAGTTCTACTCTGTACTATAGGGTCGCTATGACCACCAAATTTGAAGAGACATATAGGCAAGAAAAATTGCATTTTATCAAATAAAATGATGTACATTAGAGGTCTGAAAATCTGAAGGATTATGTAATTTCAATATTACAGTATAATTTTATGACTAGACCAATGATTCTATTCCTCCTGGCAAAACTGAATATAATATTTCAACATAACAAAATAATTGGATTAAATATTTTAAATAGAATTAGACCCGTGTTTCCATACTCAACCCCTCTCTCCTATTCTCCCAACAAGTTACCTCAAACAGGTGTACAAAGGTTTTGCTCTGTTGTGCATGGGTTAAGAGTTTGGCTGCTAACCAAAAGGTTGGCAGTTTGAAGCCACCAGGAACTTAAATGCTGAAGACCGATGAGGAGAAGGAAAGCTGATGTTTATCCTGATTTAATATAAACTGACATATAATATTCTATTTAATCTCAGGCAAGTACACTATGAACGCTACTTTCAAGATGAGGAACGTGATGGTCAAGCAGGTTACGTGACCTTTCCAAGGACAAATACCTGAGAAGTAGGAGGTCTAACATTTGCATCTATATCCGCTTACCTTTGATACTAATGTACTGTATTTATCTTAAGATCTTTTGGGGGAGAGGCCCCAAGCCTTTGATGCATTCCAGAATTACATGAACCCCATCTCCCTAAAATTCTGAAATCTGGGACTATTCTTAACAAGTATCTCAGGTAATTATGAAATGACCAAGAAACAAGCACTTGGAAATTACTGCTTTACCATATTATGGTGTCTGAAAATTAGAAACTGGAGCAAAGCAGCAAGTTAGTTCCCCTTCCCTGTGATGGAACAAATCAGGTGACCTGTAAATGAAAAGCTCATGCATTCATTACACCAACTGACTGAGCACTATTTACTGAGTGCCCGCTTTATCCCATGGTATCAACCCAGTAAGTGAAATTTTATTGTTTGCTTGATTGATTTTCTTAAACCTAAGGAATGGTACCCAAAGTATTAATCATACTTAAACCACCTCTGCAATATTTGGGATGGCCACCCCAACACATCCATTCTAGGAACCAAAATGGAAATGCTTAGAACCTATTTGATGAGACAATAATAATGACTAGGTAAACACCATGAGGCAGTGGTGGTTCAATGGTAGAATACTTGCCTTTCATGCAGAAGACCAGGGTTTGATTCCTCACCAATACACCTCATGCACAGCCACTACCCAGATGCGAAACAGGTTTTAGTGGAGCTTCCAGACTAAGATGGACTAGGAAGAAAGCCCTGGCAATCTATTTCCAAGTATCAGCCAATGAAAACTGCATGGATCACAATGGTCCAATCTGCAACCCATCATGGGGATGGTGCAAAACTGGGCAGTGTTTTGCTCTGTTGTGCATGGGTTCACCATGAGCAGGGGGCCAACTGACTGGATAGCTGCTAAACAGATAACCATCATCACTACACTTTCCCCAACTAAACAAAACCAATTCTCAAATCTCTAAGTTTCAGCTTCTTTATTCAAAAAATACAGTTCAGTACTGGATGAACGCTAACATTCCAAGTAGCAGGAAACTTTTATGTGTCTATAAACTATTCCATTCATTAACATATTACCTAAGTTGTTGGATGAACGTTGCTTTTAATTGTCCATCATGTCAGCGCAAGCCTAAAGCATCAGCAATCTTGTTTTGCTGTCTGGCAAGGCTTGAAACACAGAATCTCATCATAATCACTGTTTCCATTTGGCCACTTTTAAAGTAATACTCATTCAAAAACTATGCTTTGCATAGTTACTCTTAAATGACTACAGTATAACTGATAACCAAAATCAAACTCACTGCCGTCCAGTCAATTCTGATTCGTAGTGACCCTACAGGACAGAGTAGAATTGCTCCATATAGTTTCCAAGGCTGTAAATCTTTATGGGAGCACACTGCCAAGTCTTTCTCCCATGGAGCAGCTGGTGGGTTTGAACCACCAACTTTTCAGTTAGCAGCCGAGCACCTTAACCACTGTGCCACCAGGGACAGTCCTCTAAATTTAATTACTTTGTATAAAGTATTTAGACTAAAATACTTACCCCCTTTTGTCTTTCTGGCATTACTCTTCTGGAAAATGAGTTCAGGGTCAAATCCAAATAATACATAATTTTTTAATGTACCCAACAGAGAAACGGCAGTCTCAGTCTTTAATTACATGCTATTGAATTTTAACAAATCGTTCTAGGGATAGCTGCCAAATTTCTGCAATTTAGAGCAACTACACCAGAAGAGAATAGGACAGTTCACAATTTATAATGTATTATTTTCCCTGAAATACTGAAACACTCATTGTAGTTCTAGCTACATTTTCATTTTAATGAAAGTTAGACAAATAGACATACCTTCTTCCCACATGGATTGCCTACTCACATGGATTGCCTACTCACAGAAATAATCTTAGGATCTTCTCTTCAGCCTTAAACTAATCATTTCTCACTTCTATTTTCACTCCCTACCCCAAATCAAGGTGCCCAGATGGCACAACGGTTAAGTATTTGGCCGTTAACTGCCAAGGTTGGTGATTTGAAATCAGTCCAGTGGCTCTGCAGGAGAAAAGACCTGGAGATCCACTTTCATAAAGATTACAGCCTAGAAAGCCCTTTGGGGCAGTTCTACTCTGTCACATGCGGTTGCTATGAGTCAAAATCGACTCAATGGCACCTAACCACAACAACAACTCCAAATCACATACAGTCTATTCAGGCAAGGGGGAAATTAATTTATGATTAAGCTCTAGAAATGTCCATTTTAAGCACAGGTAACAGGCAAGGAGGAGTGATGAGATGCTAGAGGTAACTGCATCTGCTTCAGTCTCCCAGGCACCCACCACACATGGCACGTGGCACCCCTATTACAGGTATGCCCAACACAGTGGAGGACCGGGCAAAGAGAAAATAAGCCTGGGGATTTCCTAGAGAAGAACCCTAAAGCAGATGGGGGAGAATACGCCACCATGAGTGGTTAAAAGCATGAGGGCTTAAGAGCAGCTGGCGAAGTGCTGCGTTTCCTGAGATTATTAATAACTCAGGTAAATTCTGATGCAGAACCTAGGGAAGCCACTGAGTGGAAGTTCAAATCGTTCTAGGATAGGAGAAATATCCCCGGCCTTAAACAAGAGTAAATTCGGTCTTGGAACAGGAAGTGATGGTAAACTTGTATTTTTGACTGTAACTGATCTAAATTGAGAGGAAGTGTATGCTACAAGGTTCCACATCTTCACAATCTAGACTGGGCTAACAGGCT